GGTGGACGCCGACAGGGAGGGGTGGTGCGCAGCTAGCCGGACAGCCTTTTTGGGTTGGAGCCATGTTCCCCGTCGGTCTGTGTCCACAGCAGCAGCAGGTGGGGGGCGTGGCTCCAGCCAGGCAGGGGGCGTGGCTCTAGCCCAAAATGCTGTGGCACACCTGAACGTGCCTGACAACACACCAGTTGGGAAGCGCTGCTTTAGAGTAATAACATAGCAAAAGCATTGGATTTTTACTCTTGTCAGGTCTTTCATGCATTAAACGTTTAGAATATGTCTTTGTGGAATAGCTAATGCCTTCATGTGGCAGAAATAGTAAAAATTAATTATTCTGGCAGTGCTAATAGGATTTATGATTCCTAATGTTCTAAATTGGGGCATAGAATTTTTTACCTCAGAAGTCTGCTATTACTTATAACAGTGCTTTAAATATACATAAAGCTTTATAAGTAAGACCATGTCATTGCTCCAAGGAGCTAACAGTCTAAGAGCAATACTTTTGCAACCTGATTCTTAAACATTATTAATCTAGGTGCATATTCTATTTTAATTATGGTATTTTTTTTTGTCCAAGTTAGATGTCATTAACTCTAAGTAAAGCCTTTGTATTGAGAAATTAATATTGGGTTAGTGGCATTGTGCTTAAGGTTTATTTAGCACTTACATTCTAACTTACTGTTTTTCAGTGTGTTTTACGTTCCTCTAAATTACCTTCCTAGCTGTAATTTCCCATGTTTCACTCACCAGTTAAATACAGCTAATTCTGAGTAAAATATAGCAACTCATAGCTCATAAAAGCAACAAGAAATTATAAAACAAAAAATTGAGAATATTGTATTGAAACTAGAAGGGCAATTTTGTGCCCTGTAGACGCAATATAATAACTATACCAGAATAATTGCAGTGATGGGATTTTGGCAACAGTACTGTAAGTAATACCTCAATACCTGCACAAAGTGCTTTTGGATTTTTAATTGTTACAGTTGATCAGGGACACTTCTTTACAAGTCATACGCAAATGGTATCTCCAGGAACACAGCATCCTCAAATGCTACTGTAGGCCTTTAGTTCAATATTAACCCAAAGGAAAGAATTCTGTCTACTGCATGACTAACTCTACCTTCTTGGTTATCCCCGGTCCAACCACTAAAAAGGTCCAAACATACTTAAAGTATGAACCATGGCAGAATCAAAGTCCAGCATAAGGGTTTGAGTGTCATCTGTTGGGAGAACCAGACGTTAAAATTTCTGGATATTTCTGCATTTTAAGCTTCCAATACGTGATCCTTTGAAAGTAAAACTTGCTAAGTAACTGAAACATTTTTTTGTGTCACCAAATCTCTCTCATAGTATTATGCTGACTTTGTTTTTTCAGTATAAACAGGAAAAAATATGAGTTGTCCTTTATAAATGCAACAGTTTAATATCTGATGCTACTAAATACTGCAAAGGATAGCTCCATGACCTGCCAAATCAGGCCCTTAGTTATTGGCTAAAATGTAGTATCAGGATCATGTACGCAGCATGTACAGTCATTTCACTGTCTCCTCTCAGACCCAAAAGCATTTGGAATGGATTTATCTCAGTGCAAGAGCGCAGGCACTGGACTTCTGCAGCAGATCTCTGACTTCCCCTGTAATAATTTCATAACTCTAATGTTAAAGGGAAGACAAAGATACAGCAATACAAGTTGCGTAATCTTTTTATCTGGTGAGATGTGCATAAAGTATGCAAACATTTTCATACCCCACTCCCTCCCCCATTCCTTACTCACACATTTCCCAGTGACAGCAACAGAGTTAATCTTTCTTTGGTCTCACATTTTTTAATTTAACTTACATGGACAAATTTCTGCCTGCTTCACTTTTTCGTCCAATTAAAATAGAATTGTCCATTCTTCTCCATATCCATATTACTTCAAGTGAAAGTCTTGCCTTTTCTTTAACCCGGTGACTTGCATTGCATAAATGAGGATAAAAATCACTAGAATTGGCAAGACCTTGCTGAGTTACACATGCTACCCCATGTACGGTTATAGCAGTTCAGTTGTACAAAGCTGGAAAAAAAGGTTCATCCCATGGATTTAAAGATTTATTATATAATAAACTTTGTATTTATGTCACATGCAATGATCATCTTGGAATACCTATGAAAGTAATAAATACTTTTCTTAGTGTATGTATGCTGCCTCTCACCTAAATAATACTTTACAGGTAGTTAATTTTACCCTCCCCTTTGAATAAAAGTAGTATTCCAGTTTTCTTAATGGGAAGTAATAAAGTTACTTGACTTAACTGAGGGCACAGAGGGAAACTGTTGCAAAACAAGTTATTTCTACTGACTCTCAATTCACAGTCCTAACAACTCAATTCCCTTCATTCAATTATTTTTTCAACTTTACAGTCACTGGAACAACAGTAAATAGAGCTGGAATAGAGCAGGGATCCAATTGATTGTCTGGCTCTCAAGGGAGAAAGCCTGCTTTTATGCAAAACTACACCATAGAAATAATTTATGATATTGTAAAGGTATCTGCATAGCTGCAGTTTCTAGACATGTCTGGCTTGAGAGTAATTTTTTACATATATTTTGCTAAAATTAATTCTAGTGTATGAAAACCTGAGAAATCTGAAGTACATGTTAACATATTTTCTCCTTCTGTTTGAAGTCAGCCAGCATTTTAAAATAGTTTATTGGCAGTGAACATTGTTAACAGTCACACTATTACAGTTAAGTAATTTGGAGATACTTGATTGGGTGAGGGAGGAGTCTGCAGAGAGCACTTCTGGCCAGAAATGACATGCTGCTTTAGACTATTTGTAAAAGGCTTTATTACTGACCACTTCAATTAGGGAGCCAGACACACACACATCTTCTGATCGTATTTCTTTATTGTCACTTCCTTTCCTTTGTGCCTTCCTTACAGTAAGATGATGGTGCTAGTAGGAAACCACTTCCTGGGTTAGTCAGTGTCATAGCTTGCTGCAAAACACAACATGAGAGAGGTTATTAAGAATGTTATTTTAAACCTGTAAGGTTATTAAGAACCAAAGGAAGATTATTTTAAAATGGCAGAAAAGAAATTAGCAACATTTGATTTTTTTGTATTTTGCACTGCAAATCGGCTGTAGGATCAGTTGCAATGTATTATCAACTGTGTGACTTGTGGACAAAAATAATATAAGGTATAAAGTGAGAACACGACACTGTCTCCATTAAATAGTCACAGACTGCTTCATCATAAGTGAAATATTTTTTATGTATGATTAAGGATCATGTATAAGTAAACATTTTAGTTCCAAAGATTGATCAGTAACAGTAACTGGAGCTCTGAGAATAAAAACTGCTGTTTCAAAAACTAAGGATTTTTTTACAAAACTTTAATAAAAGTAGAAAATAGTACGCTCAAATATTCCATGTGTGCATACATGTAATTTATTTCTATCTGTAAAATATGCTTTTTAAAATTTTTGCTTTCTTGTTTTCTGGTGGAGGGGTTCTATCTTTATCTTCTTAAAAAAAGAAAACCCAAAACTTCCCCTGTACCCAGCCTTCATCAGCTAAACAACTATATCTAGATTCTGTAGCCAGACTAGCATACTGTTCGTTTGGTAAGGCAGAACAAGGAAGTCAGTAGCTTCTCATTCAGGCAGTGCTCCATTTGTGCACGAGTGCAGTAGGGCCAAAGACTTTCACCTGAGCACCTGATTTTTAGAGATCCCATTCAAGCTGATGGTGGTGAATTTTAAGCAAAAGAGAAAGGAAGCTCTAAGTGACAAGCTGGTTACATTGTAGCCTGATCCAGTTTTCTGTGAAGTCAACAGAGATCATATAGAGACATTCAGTTCCTCCTGGCAGTCATTGTTCACCCAGGGGAAGCCATGAGTTTACAGATGTTCAAGATTTTTCTCCCAGAGTAAAAATGTCTGTTCCAGAATTAACAAATTTTGGAAACAACCAGGATTAAGTTGTTGAACATCTATGTACATCATTAAGTACTCAAACATCTATGAACATCCGAGTAGAGACAGCATAGTTCTCCAGCATCCCAGAGTGCTTTGCTCTCAAGCCCCTCCTCTCCTCTCCCTCCTTCCAGGGAGACACACCCCTGGCTGTGCAGCATCTCTACTCTTCAAGAGCTCAGCATTCAAAAGTCTGTTCAGGCATCTCTGGATAAGTTTTTCTACCAGAAGAACAAAACTGGGAGAATACTTCCAGACTATTTGAGCTCATGTACACAGCAAGAGAAATTCCCATGAAATTGAATAGTCTCCTAGTGCATAAAGTAGCCATTTCTTCCCACTCACACTTATTCCCATGTGGGAGCTGTACTCTTTGCCAGATTAATATTTTAATTTTCAGTTTCCATCATTTTACATCCTGAAACCTGAAAAAAACAAAAGGTGGAAGGAAGCTTGGAAGCCCAATGTATCTAAAACTCCAGGTTTTATTTTAGTATTTTGGGGACTGTAAAAGCCTTTATTGAATAATACTGCATCATAATTGCCACAATTTTTGATAGACATTTTATATTAGAGCCACCATTAATGGATTCCAGCTCTTATCTCTGAGAAAAGGCATTCCAGTTGTACATCAACAGTTGCAAACCATGTTGTTCCCAGAAACTGGTGTATAGCACAACTGCTGCAAGTCTTCTCTTACCAAGCTCACCACCTCAGTAGTTCTCTGTGCATAGGTCTGAGGCTACACCTCTTTTTCATTTGTCCCTACAGTGTTGTTATATGCACTAAGACGCATTGGTACTGCCTTTAAGTGAAAAAAAGAATAAACATGTATTATGTTTGAGAGGAAATGCTTTTAACAGTTTTCTTTTTCCTAAAACTATTTCTCTTAAAAATATATATTTTCATCTCCGGCTGTGGGATCAGCAGACTCTGTTGTTCAGAGTGACTGGTACTTTGTTTACTGATTTTAATCTTCCATAGATTTAATAGAACCAAGTGACTCATACCAGAGTCTGAAAAGCACATGCTTTTATCACTTTCTTGCATCCCATGAAAACCTTATGTGCCTTTGAAGTATAAATTTTTATAGCCTTTAACTCAATTTGTATTTTCTGTGCAAAGGTGATTTCCAGAATGCTAAATAATTTTTAAAAGAGAACATTATAGTCTGAGTAACTAAGTTATCTTATTATAGGAGCACATATGTTTTTATTAGACATAGTAAATATGACATCCAGATGCTACGACCTCATACAGGAAAGTAGGTATCTAATTTAGTACTCACTGGATAGCTGTATGTATAGTGAGAGCTGGGGTTTCCTACTGGTATTAATGTATTTTGTGTTAATGATCACATTGGGCAGTCAGTAGCTGTAGTCCTCCACCGGTTAATATCCCATTTTTGCTTTTGGAGACTGGCCCATCATTTTGTTGTTTGAAGCATACAGCATACTACTTTTCTGGGCTAATTGGTGAACAACATGAGATTGGCAGCTGACTACAAACACTGTGATGCTTGATTGTTAAGGAGCATCCCAGTGTGTTCCTTTATACTGTAGCTGATCGAAAGGTTAAGGAATATTTGATTCATAAGAAACAGGAAAGTGACCCAACCCAAGCTAACTTTAAAATCTCCACCAAAGCAAGAATATTGTCCAAGGGATAAATGAATCAGCTGTCTAGTTAACCCTCCACTTATAGAATGGTGCTAATTGCACATTGCAAAGTAAAACTACAATTTAATTACACTGTAATCGCAGAGCAACCAACCTGTAGTTATTCTGCCATATGCTGTGGACTTCTCTACTTCTAGTCTGACTGGGATGATATACTTTGTCAGACCTCTGCTTTTCTGTGTGTCCATTATAATATAATCCATCCTTTTCTTTTCTGACTGGTGCTGCTTTTCAAGAATTTTCAAAAATTAAAACATGCGACTCTTGTTAAGAATAAAATCCAGGTTAATTGCGGATAAATGAACTCATAACTCTGTTAAATGGCTTACATAGAGCCACACAGCAAATAAAGGTAGAGCTAGTGAAGAACTCAGGAGTCCTGACTTCACATTGGTTCCTTTCTGTATCACTTGAAGGCAGCCCTTTTTTTACCACCTTCCCTCCCCCATGCATCAATGTGGCAGCTGAGATCATCTGATGTGCTCTCGCCAGGAGCTCTCCGAGTGGAATGTCTGGGACCCGTTCCCAGACTGTTTTCTAGTTTTGTGGACTATCCACTGAATTAGCTTCGCTGTTATTCTGACACAGCCCGAGTTGTTGCCCTTCAGGACAGTGCAAAGCTCATCTGTTTACTCAGACCTATGTGAAGGAAGGTGGGGTGTGTTTTTGGGGGACTGCATTTTGCTTCATTTTGGCAATATTAGATTTTGTGTATGGCTTTGTACACTCATTCAGCCATGTATTGATGGCTGCATTTATAATAGATGGAAATAAATAACATGCCCATTTCATAATATTTATTTTAACCTTCTGCCCAGAAATGGTAATATTTTACATGAGGAAAACTGCTGAGCCTTGTCATGGAATGAGTTTAAATTACTGTTTAAAATGCCTTTTGATACAACCTGAAGGGCACAGCAGAAAATTAGCCAAATAGAGTACGCTTAGTTTTATGCCAAGTGTCTGCAGAACAGCTGAACGTCCTAATGTTTATTTCCTGTCCTAATGTGGCCTGTTGCATTTTAAGTGTACTGTGTATTCTTTCAGCTCCTGCTGGGTCATTACATTCTGGCATTATGCTAGAGCAGGGCTATCCAACGGATTGGTCTACGTACCACATGCGGCCCACAGTGGGTGGGTAACACATCGCTCCCGGGCTCCTGCCTGGCTGCCACTGCCCCTCTTACTCTGGCTTCAGCAGCAGCCAGGGGCTCAGGACTCCCTGGTCCTCCCCCAGCTTCTGCTGCATGCCCCAGGGGCCAGGACAGCCCTGCACAGCACAATACAGGCCATGGTGCTGGGGGAACTGGCAGCCCAGAGCACCCTGCAGCACACTGCCACAGGGGATATGACAGGGAGAAAAAGGTGAGGTGGAGATGTAGGGGAGCACCTCCCTGTGTGCTCGGTGAAGCAGGGTGGAGGGCGCCCACATGCATGGGTGGTGCAGTAGAGGAGGGGAGCGCCCACACATGCATCCACAGTACAATGGTGTGGAAGGAGCCTGCCTGCATGTGCATGGGGCATGCAGCCTAGGAGGGCTGTGGCTGCTGCTGGTGCTGTTCATGTGGTATGTGGCTCTTGCTGGTGCTGCCTGGACCCTTAGAAGTTGGGCAGCCCTGTGCTAGAGTTTCCAGGGCTATATAGGCTTCCAGCAAAATAATAGCCTTATTCTTTGAAAGAAATTGTATAACACTGTGCATTTGAAACCAAAGATTTTCCTAGGCTTTTATACAGATTTGTTCGTACTAAGTTTAAAACAGATTGTGTTTCTTTCTATCAGCTATATCATCCTATTGCTCATCTCAGTTCATGTTCTTCCTGCGTTGTTGGTTGTCTCTTTATGGAAAATGCTTCCTCGGATAAATCCTTTTCTGAGTACACACTGTGTAATTCCCTTTTAGAGGATAGCTGAAAAAATGCTATCTTTGAAGAAAATGGGACAACTTCCTATCCATGTCCTGTTTTTGTTTTATGCTGAGAATTAGCAGTTCTTCAATAAAAATTGAAGAACAGTTGAAAAAGAGCTGTGTTGAAAGAGACAAGTGTTGAAAGAAAAAAGAATATGCTTTTCCCTTGTGGAAAATTTTGAAGCCATATTTGAAACAATTTTCCACGAGCACTATTTTCTATTGGTCTTTTCACAAATGGCACATATGAATTTTCTCTCTTCTCTACCCCTTGCTAAAATTCACTATTTCAGTGGTTGGGCCACACTTCAGATTGTGTTCCTGTGAATGCCATATTCATAGCAAATGTTTGTAATCATGCATCTAGAAAGGATTATTTATGTAGGTTAAGAGACTAAACAGCAGCACAGTTAGGAACTGTCTTGATGCAGTGTTTATTAAAAATAGAGAATATGGGGAAAGTTAAATATGTAAATATAGATCACCACTTAGTGATTCGTATTCAGTGGTTTTTCAAGATTTTCCTCCAGTTGCCCAGCACCACCTGCAAAACCATTATTAAAAACCAGATTATGTCTTATTTATTTTTAAAATAATGTTAAGATAATACTGCTTAATGTAATCACTATTACCATAGTATCATTTATTTGGTATCCTGGGCATCTTTGCAAACTTTCAAAGAATTTAGGATTAGTAATAAAGTCACTTACTACAGTGGTTTTCAATCTGTGGTCCACAGACCCCTGGAGGTCCACAGATTATGTCTAAGGGGTCTCCAAAAGATGATTATGATCAGTCAAAAGTATGTGAATACCCACACTTACAATTCAGAGGGGTCTGCATCTCTATTCAAAATTTCCAAAGGTGCCTGCACCTCCATCTGAAATTTTTTAGGGGTCTGCAAATGAAAGACTAAACTAAGCAGTAGCTAGAGGAGTTACCCTAAAGAGACAGTGGTGACATAATACTAGTGATCAAATAAGAAGTGTTGGTTGAGCTTTTCAAAGGCATGAGAGGAAGATACAGTTGGAAATGTCCTTCTTTTGGGCCCCTTGAAAAATCTCAGTATTAATATGTTGTTTCACTTGTTGTCCACTGAATGATAATTGCAAATGCTTTAGGACTGCTGAAGATCTGATAAATCTGTCAAATAACTTCAGAACCGAATTGTTACCTTGAGTTTATGGGGAGCTCTCAAAAGTTGTCTTCTGGCAACTAGTAGGTCTGGCATACTACTGATTGGGTGCCCCAGCTTACCCTAAATACCTGTTGTGAAACCATGTTTGCCTCCCACAATACCAAGTGAGACTTTAAAAATTAATTTCCCTTTCACTCCCAGACCACTCTTTACGTTCAGTGAGGGGGATATTGGGGTTGTGCAAAGCTTCAGTAGCCGATTCGATTCAGAGGAGATTTGGCCCAATTCGGCAGCCAAATATCTGAATCCAGATTGAATCAGGAGACCTATTAATTTCTCTGAATTAAATTGGAAGCCTCAGACTGTACAGGCAGGCACTAGGCAGTACTGGTGGGAGCAGCTGAGAGAAACTGCGGCTCATTCAGCTACTGCCTTGGCTGTTCTCCCTCCCCCACCCCCCCGGGACGAAGCAGACAGTGCTGGCAGCCCCAGGAGAAGCTGCTGGGGCTGGGGGAATGATTGGGAGCTGGGAGGAATGATTGGGGAGCTGGGGGGGATGATCGGGGGCTTGCCCTGGCTCCTGGTTCGATCTCCCAGCTCCCTGATCATTCCCCCCAGACCCCCGATCATTTCCCCCAGCCCCCATGGCTTCTCCCAGGGCTCCCAGCCATGCCTGACTCGTCCCCGCCAGGTCGGGCAA